TACTATTATTATTATTATCATTATTGTTATTATAATTATCATCATCATCATCATCATCATCGTCATTATTGCTATATTATGATTATGATTATGATTATGATTTTGACTGTTATTACGATTATGATTAATGTTATTACTATCATTATTACCATTAGTATCCCTATTATACAACAGTAACAACAAAAAACAATCACGACATTATCAAGTGCACAAACAGCTCACCCTTCTGGGCACCGTTGTCTTGACAGGTGTAGGTGTGCGATGAACGTCCCACATCACAGATCCTGCAGATATGTTGTGTCAGAGAGTGAACTCGTCACTTACAGTACTGGCCTAACAGTTCAGCTTTGTCAGAGACACAAGGTGTCCGAAGTGAACACCTGGAAAAAGACCAATGACTCAATATAAATTTTGAAGCTAAAAAATACCAGTCGCTTGTGCTAATAATGTTATAAAAAAGTAAAGGAAGAATATTAATTTTAACAAAGATTAACATAATTTGGTACGGAGTAAACAACATAGTGCGCATTTAAATTCTGTTGGAAAATTTAAAACTATTAATTTTCTTTTCTTGGTTACCCTTTTAGCAAATATAAAACAAAATTTAATTATTTTTTTCTCCACGACAATTGACGACGCGATAAATATGCTGTGAAAAATGTCTCCTTATCTAAGTGAGTCGCCAAAATTTTGGACGTCGGATACGTGTTTAAATAAGCTCTTCTCCGGAATTAATCTCTATATATGCTGGCAGCAATCTAGTGGCCGGAATCCCCCGAGCTCCGTCGCGCGCCGAAAAGCAACAGTTCCCGTGGAGGGTTGGAGCAACAACTCCTACACGGAAGTGGGACAATTACAACAAAACCGATATGAAATTAATCAATCGAACTAGACGGATCGATGATGGCACGGTAATTGAACAGCGATGAGATGGCGTCTCGCGGGGCGTCGGGAAATGGTTTACAGTAAACTGCCAGAGTGATGGCGGCGGGGGGCCTTGCGCTTCGGGAATCCCTCCATTTACGGTAAAAACACTTTTTGCGGGGTACTCGCAAAACGTTGCCGAATTTCTGCATGTGGGAATAGATCACAAGAATAGGCTGACACAAAAATCCCTTAAGGTGTTTTCTTGAGATACATTCTAGGAGAATCTGAGAAAGTTTAGGAGGACAATTATTGGTTTCAGGCCCAAAATGAAATTTCACGCTCTTCACATACAAAAAACAACCAATGGGGGTAAATGGTTGAAAAAGTTTTACAGTACTCCCGTCTGTGCAGACTGTCACACAATGCAGTACGTCACAGTACGCCCAACAACAAAAACTAGCCAATCAGAAACGCTCACTCAGGAGTTTCAAAGAGAATTCACTTTTGATTCGTTGCTGTTTTCTTCAAGGACTGAATAATTTGGCTGCACATCAAGACAGAGTCGAATACCCAGCAGTCAGTATTGCGTTGTTTTCAAAAGCATTGTGCATATTCTTATGGATTTCTTGTGCCTTATGTTCACCACATGATTGCCACGGACTTATTAATAAGTCACAGTATGATGATACGTAATATGTACTTTTTGGTTGGCCTTTTTCATTTTAAGCTTTCAGTCTGCGCGACTGGTTTAAATATTAGTTCAGTCGTTGTTTTTGATGATGATGATGATGATGATGATGATGATGATGATGATGATGATGATGATG